TATAATATTTAAATAAATATATATATATTAATTTAAATCAGTGGTATATTTTCGCGCGTGAAAGGTAAAATGGGAAGAAAGTCAAGTAAAGGGAAATAGAACTACTTGGCTTGAATGTTATAATCGCCTTTTTCTCTTTCGCCATGGTAAAGTGAACATAACACTCGGTGAAAACAAACTGATCGATAATATCAATATTATATACATTCGCGAATTAAATTAAATTCGATAAATAAAATTTAAACCAATCGATCAATCAATCAAATTAATATTTCATTTGATTAACGTAGTAATTCATAGTAATATTTTCAATTCGATTAATCGTACATTGACTTCGTTTATCAATCGACTATTTAAATCAAAAGAAATATATCCGAAGGTGTAAGTTAACGCCTCTTTTATCGTATTATTAACGAAAGAAGAAAGTTGTCGTTCGTCATCGTAGGTTGTTTTGTAAATCTGTGTGTGTGTTTTTTTTACGTGTATTCATTATTATTCTTTTTATTATCGATGTTTCATCAGATACCTGAATTATTGTGTGTGTGTGTATTTTCTTTTTTATTTTGTAGATAAAGTTTATTCTAACGTGATTATTATTATTATTATTATTATCGTCGTATAATGATTGCTTATTTAGTTGTTATTTGTTTTTCATCTTGAATAAGTTTTTGGCGGGAAAATTGAAAACATCGATTATCCCCCAATCGGTATGCGGAAGAAAACGAAGAATTCGCTGACGTTATTCTTGGTAAGTTTAACGATTCTTGATAATTAAGCCTATTCAAAGTTATGAAAAGAAATGAAGAGAGGAGATTAAAAAAAGAAAAAAAAAGAAAAAGGAAAATTAATTCAAAAAGAAAAATAATAATGATAGATGTATAATAATAATTGAACGATAATAATAATAATGAGAAGGACGGACGTGTGCGAGTTTGCACGTAAATAAAATGCGTTTTAAAAATATTTGATCACGTGATCGACAATTTATCTGCGAAAGATTCTTAGGATATAAATTAAAGAATACAAAACAAAACAACATTATAAAATATCGGATAAGTATGAATTATGTATTTTTATTTATTGTTTTCTTTTCTTTTTTTTTCTTTCTCCACATTTATACATTGTATTAGAATATGAAAATTATTAATAGTATCTTATACGAACACATACAAACCCCTATATTCCCAGGAACTATACCTTGTTTATTATGCAATTGCAATTATTTATATTATAATATTTTCTCATACAATATTTAATAAACTTATATGACACTATATTATTCCTAAAAGTGTCACGATTAAAAATAAAGTTTTATTTAAAAGAAAATACGCTTACTCGTATATATATATATCTGTTATAATCAATGAACATATAAATCGATAATCAAATTTGTGATCAAACCGTAAAAACTAATCGATTTGAATAAAACAATCAAATTTCTCTCATAGTTGTTAGTTTGTAAAAGTGAAAGCGTTCCGTTGTGAACGTTCCTAACGAAAGAGAAAATACACCTAGTTATTGTTATATTGTATTTGTGTGTGTGTGTGTGTCCTTATACACATACATATATATATACACGTTAGATATGTTCAACGAGTCGAAAAGAGCCGCCTTGCGCTACTTTATCTCTTTTGTCCTGTTGCTGATCTAAGAACCATCATCTCAGCTACTTCCGGTGACACAGCTAATACGACCTTTCCTTCGAAGAGTTTAGAGATCGTACGTTCTTTAAGAATCGAGCACGCTCCCACGCACCTCACGTTCCTATCCATTTTTTTTTTTTTTTTTTATCATATATTACAGTTACGTTCACACCGAATTAATTTATGAAAAGTCCGCCATATTGGAGAAAAGTCTGCCATATTGGAGAAAAATCCGCCATATT